CTTTGTCCTTACTTTTCCTAATATTGATGTCCTTTACGTACGCTATTTGCCCTTCGTTAAGTACTACATTTGCTTCTCCTCTTTTCCTTTCCCTAGCCTTTTCTTTTTGTTCAATCATTCGATCGGAAATGTACTTGTATAAATATTTAGTGCGTTTTTGATGGTCTTTTAATAGCTGTTGAGTATAGGCCCTATCGAAATCGTTATCAAAAACCTTTCCGGAATCCGTATGCCCAAAGCAGACTTGAAACGGAGTTAAACTAGTATTGGAGTGTACTGTGTGGTTATAAGCCATTATAGCGCTCGGCTTTCTAATATCTTTACAAAACTGCTTATAATTTAGTATGGATTCGCCTGAATGTACATCGATTGGTAATTTAACACGTAGTTCCGATCTAGGTGGCAAAATAAAAATGTGATTTTCAAAATTATGTACAATAGGAACATTTGTGGATTTTGTTGAAAGTATATGACGCTTTAAATCGATCACAGCCTCTAATTGTTTTAATAGGTCATTACATATGAGGCCATCATAACCCGAATCTACATTATATATATAGAACTTGTGATATTCAGGGCTTTTAAATGTGGGTGGTAGCGGAATAACTATGACCTGATTATGGCTACTTGTAGCATCATCATTATCATCATCATTACAGCCCTTCACAAGTCCACTGCTGAACATAGGCCTCCCCCAAAGAATGCCACAAAACAGCGGAGCTTCTGAAAGCGGGTGGAAGACCGGTACTTGAAGTCCTTCAGAAGCTCTTTAATTCCGTCCTCCATGGTGGCATTACACCGGAGGCGTGGAGCAGAAGTGCGGTGGTCTTGTTCTTCAAGAAAGGTGACAACGCTCTCTTGAAGAACTACAGACCGATTTCCCTTCTGAGCCGCGTCTACGTGCTGTTTTCGAGAGTCATTACGAATCGTCTCGCGCGCAGACTTGACGACTTCCAGCCTCCCGAACAAGCCGGTTTCCGAAAAGGCTTTAGCACCATAGACCACATACATACCCTTCGGCAAGTTGTACAGAAGTCCGAAGAGTACAATTTGCCACTATGTCTGGCGTATGTGGACTATGAGAAAGCCTTTGATTCCGTCGAAATTTGGGCGGTGCTGCAGTCCCTTCAGCGGTGCCAAGTTGACTGTCGGTATATCGAAGTGTTGAAGTGCTTGTACAGTAGGGCTACGATGGCTATCCGAGTACAGAACCAGAGTACGAAACCTATCCAATTGCAGAGAGGTGTAAGACAGGGTGACGTCATATCCCCGAAACTCTTCACCGCTGCATTGGAAGACGTTTTCAAGCTTCTGGACTGGAAAGGATACGGTATCAACATCAATGGCGAGTACATCACTCACCTTCGATTTGCCGACGATATAGTCCTTATGGCAGAATCGCTGGAGGACCTAAGCACTATGCTCAATGACCTCAATAGTGTTTCCCAACGGATAGGTCTTAAGATGAACATGGACAAAACTAAGATCATGTTTAATGTCCATGTCACACCTATGCCGATAGTTGTTGGGAACACTAAGCTCGAAGTTGTTGACGAGTATGTTTACCTGGGACAAATAGTCCGACTGGGTAAGTCCAACTTCGACCGAGAGGTCAATCGACGGATTCAACTCGGCTGGGCAGCGTTCGGGAAGCTACGACACATCTTCTCGTCAGACATACCTCAAAACCTTAAAACGAAATTGTACAACCAGTGCGTGTTGCCAGTGATGACTTACGGAACTGAGACGTGGTCCTTCACTGCTGGCCGTATGAGGAAGCTCAAGGTCGCTCAGCGAGCTATGGAGAGGGCTATGCTCGGAGTTTCTCTGCGTGATAAACTTAGGAATGAGGATATCCGCAGTAGAACCAGAGTGACCGACATAGCCCAACGGATTAGTAAGCTGAAGTGGCAGTGGGCCGGCCATATAGCTCGAAGAACCGACAACCGATGGGGAAGAAAGGTTCTCGAGTGGCAGCCTCGTACCGGTAGGCGAAGTGTAGGGCGTCCCCCCACGAGATGGAGTGACGACCTGGTAAGACATGCAGGAAGTCGATGGATGCAGGTGGCTCAGGACTTGTAGCATGTGTACTGCAAAACCTCGAAGGGTTCATTAAAAATTTCATTTTGGAAATATTGGTATGCCTTGCTTCGGCTTATAAATGAATGCGTGCTACCGGGATCTAACATGAATTTTGAATCTAACTCCGGAATATATATATAAGGTAATTTTAAATTTGTGTCATTATTTAGTTCTATGGTTTCACGGTTTTTGTCTTTATCGTCTACGTTCACTTGCAACGAGTCAGTGTCATCGTCAGAACCTAATGCGTTCAGTTTGATACGGGACAGTGCGTCGGCGTTGCTTGAAGCGGTTATGTGAAAATTTTTAATATTTTCCGTCGTCTTAATATTTGTATCAGCCGGTTTGGTTTCAGTTTCCGGGTTTACAGTCTTTTCTGATTGATATTCGGGGTTATAGTAAGGATCGTCGTTAGGATATTGATCGAAATAATTTGCGTTTCCGTAGCAATACATGTCATCATTATAATAATTTTCATTTAACTCTAATTCGTTTTACCTAAAACCTTGCTGCGGTCGTGCTACAGGTGCTGTGCGCATCGACACATCTGTGTTAATTCGCGGTTGGTTATGCTGAGATATATTACTATCGTTTTTATATCGCTGCTGCATACCGAACTGTTGAGGACTCATTGAAGGTAAAGGCTGAAGGCCGACAGGTCTATAGCCAAATTGGGGTGGACGATATCCGAATTGCATTTGATTGTTATTAGATTGTGGTGGTCGATAATAATTTCCTGAACTGTTAAATTGTCGCTGCTGACCTTGAGTCGGTAGCGGCATCTGCACCTGCTTATTCGGTGGAATGCCAAAATTATATCTAGGAGGTTGGTTCAATTGCATAGGCTTAAAACTATAAGACTGTTGAGGTAGAGTGTTATTATTACCGAATTTAAATGATGGCGAATTGTTATGCGATTGCGAATAATATGTGAGATTGGATCCAGACATTTTGTTTCTCATTTGGTACTGACTATTGAAGTTAACTTCTTCTAATACAGTACAGAGCGCATCCTCTAATGAATTTGGAGCTTTGAGATGCACTACTCTAACTAAATGTTCCGGTAAATTATTCAGGAAAACATTTAATGACGTATTTTCATAGATAGCCCTTTTACTATTGCGCATATTTGAGTCCGACAACCGGTTAACTTTACCCATTAAAATTGATCTCATAGATTGAATTCGACAACAAAAATCTAAATAACTTTCTCCGGGTTTAATTCTTAAAGTCTCAAGTTCGATATTTAAACACTCTTCACTTCGTGAATCTCCAAAATGCTGAATTAATAACTGCTTAAACTCGCACCACGTTGTAATATCATCGCGCTCACCTATTAATGCAGCTGCATTACCGATAAGGCGGCTTGTTATTGTATTCATCACGTACAAATTCTGTTCCGTTGAGCCGTTAAATTTAGTTATAACATATTCACACTTTCTTAAAAATAGATTTAAGTGGCGTTTGTCACCATCAAACAAAGGAATGACTTTAATCATTTCACCAGGGATAAGTGTATTACTCTCCATAATTATGTATTTTTTTTACACACAAACAATATAAAAAGAATATGAAATAAATGTAACTAAATGTCACAGAAAATATTAAGGAATAAAATGTATATGATTAATAAAAATACTTCTTTGTAAAATTATGATTTCTTGTATATGGTACTTATTAAAATAGGTATAACTTAAATTATATAAATTTTTTTAAACTATTTAACCAGAATACGTTAAAATGAGAGAAGTTAGATCTCAAGATAACAGAACGCCGAGGTAGTGGAAAGGATGGTGAAAAGTTCTACTCACCAGCCACCAACTGCTCTCATAGTCCAGGATCAGCTCCGCTAATTACTTAATTAGTACGTCTTGACAGAAGTCGATGTCAAAACGAAATAGTCGCTCCCATGAGCTCTGCCTGATATCTCATGCAACCAAAAGCGTTGACTCTACAGTTACTGGATACTGCCTAATGCTTATGCAGCCCCCTCTAGGTACAAACCCTAACGACCCTATGGTCTTGTGGTTGCATAACTACCTTCTGGCGTATTATATAAAATATTTTTATTTACATATACTTCGATATGTTTCTTATTGTTGAATACTAACAGCGACAGTTCACTAAAGTTTGATATTTCTACTTCCTTTTCTTCTTTATGGATCTGTAAATGTCCAGTTTAGTCAAACCTGGCAACTTTGCCATTTTTGGAAGGACTTAAAAGTTTAGGACCAATTTTCCAACATAAAAGATACTTTCATACCGGGCGTTAATGTTAAAAGTATCACTATATTCTTCATAGATTTGGTATTTATTAGTGATTTAAACAAACACTAACGTTCAATAGACAAAATAGTTAAAAAATATAAGATGCCAAAGTTAAACTCACTTTGTGGATTTTGTAACGAAAATAATTGGATTTGACTTCAAGGTTGAAGGTAAGTTTACCTCATAATATAATACACAAGACCCAGAGTTACGATTTGCACCTTTAATTGTGTTTCAAATAGCAAAGTTTACCCTTGTGGCAAAGTTGCCCTCCCATTTTTCAATTTTTCAGACAAACGTGAAAGTATGTGTTAGGGTTGTCAAAAATTCTTGATTGCGTACTTTACTTATTTTTTTTTTATTTTAATATTGTCACAATAATAAAATCTCAAGCAGATGGCATCACCCATCCATCTGCGTAGATCGGAGCAAAAATTAATATTAAACTTTTAAGCTGCCTACACACGGAAATATTCTAATTCATTATAATATATTTTATTGTAAATTGGAGTATATCTAGATGCAATAGGAGGTGGTGTGGCGCAAAATACTTTACTCGTAATTGTATGAAAACTTTAAGGGTTATCATATAATATAATATAGTCTCTTTTTAAATATATAAGAAAACTGAATACACAAAACATTTCATTTTATTCATCTCTCAGCTTGGAAATCAACTCCAATACACCTTGACCTTCAGGACAGTTATTGTAAATAGAAGCACAGTTGAACATCTGTCGTCCAGCAATGGCTGCATCTATATACGGAGACATCATATCATACCATTCTGGATCGTTTTCTTCAAACGGTGATCGACCGTAATCTGGCCTGTGAAGAAAAAATAAATTTTTATAGGTCGTAAGTTATATTAGTATAAAAACACCAAAAGCGTTCGATGTAAAACTTTTCACTAATCTGTTCCACACAAAGGTGGGCAGAAGTTATTTTAATAAAATTTGTGAAAGACTCATTTATAAGGAAATTATAGAATATCGACTTTTGATCATTATTATAAAGAAATCAGGCTCGACTTTGCATGAGTAAGATCTATTAATAATCTAATGTGACGGTATTGAGATTTAAGGTCATTATCAAATACCATTTACAGTATCAATTTTAGATTTGAAAAATCTGATAAAATATAATCTAGATCACTCCTGACATTGCTCTGAATCTGTTAGTGAAGAGTCATTACAATCAATTCAGCCATTCCAAAGATTAGTCCAGATAGATATTTTTTTTTATTTTATAAAAAAATAAACCTACTAACTAAATAAAGACAGTTATTTCAATATTACAGACAAACACTTCAATTATCATCATCATCTTCATTACAGCCCTTCACAAGTCCACTGCTGAACATAGGCCTCTCCAAAGGAATGCCACAAAGCACAGTCCTGAGCCACCTGCATCCATCGACTTCCTGCATGTCTTACCAGGTGGTCACTCCATCTAGTGGGGGGACGCCCTACACTTCGGCTGCCGGTACGAGGCTGCCACTCGAGAACCTTTCTTCCCCATCGGTTGTCGGTTCTTCGAGCTATATGGCCGGCCCATTTTCACTTCAGCATACTAATTCTTTGGGCTATGTCGCTTACTCTGGTTTTACAATCTGGTGGTACAATTATATTTAGATGTAGGTATATATTAAAAAAAATTAATTAATATGTATAATATACCCCATATCGTCTCGTGGGTATCGTACGAGGCGACAGAAAAAAAAAACAGGAAATATTAAACAGGAGATGGGCAGGCAGCATCTTCCTGATAGAATCTCAAAACAATAAAAATAACTGTGGTTGCTAACCCGCCTATGAAGCATGGCAACTATGGTAAAATCTCCCTTAAGGGGCAATCTATGGGGGAGGCCTATGTTCAGCAGTGGCCTTTTATAGGCTGTACTGGACTGGACTGGTATAATAATAATTATATCTGGTAGAGTTTAAATGCAATATGATATATTAAATAACTTATAACGTGATAAACTCACGAAACAATTGTATTATTACTGCAACATGAACGGGTCGACACGACAGGGAAAGGAACACGCTCTCACAGAATACAAGCATGAAATAGCAGCTTAATGCATTTTTATTAGACTAAGAAATTTCATCTTAGTCCTAACAGGGTACAACTAATTGTGTTGTGATTCTTAATCAAGGACAGAGAGAGTAAGGTGCTTACGTGCAACGGAATCCATTTATCATCAGGTTGTGTGCTCGTTTGTCGCTTTTATTTGTATTAAAAAAACATTATGTTGATATATTTTTTAAACTTAGAGTAATGATAACTATTTGTGTACTTTGAATAATTGGCATGTATTTCTATTATTTACGAAATATATTTTACAAGTCCACTTAGGCGTAGACGTAAACCTTCCCTATAAATTGCCATACGATGCGATTCTGATCCATTTGCATCCAGCCACTGCCTGCGTATTTCATCAGAACGCCTCTCCATCTATTGGGGGGGGGGGTCTCTCAAGAATCTTTCTTCCCTATCACATACACTGCCGACCATCCCGCGATGTGAATGCTCCATGTCGGATGTGCGGTTTACACAGCGCTCGGTTCGCAAAGCACTCTTCTCCCTGGACGTCAGCAAGTCGAGTGGGCCCGCTGGAGTCCCTCCCATTGTGCTGAAGACGTGTGCTCCGGAGTTAGCGCCGGTTTCAACGCGTCTTTTCCGGTACTCCTACTCCCAAGGCGTAGTCCCGAATTCATGGAAGACAGCTTTGGTCCACCCGATCCCTAAAAAAGGCGACCGCTCAGACCCGTCCAACTACAGGCCTATTGCCATCACCTCCTTGTTCTCCAAAATAATGGAATCCATTATAAACTGCCAGCTCATGAGGTACCTTGAGGATCACCAGCTGATTAGTGACCGCCAGTACGATTTTCGTCGAGGTCGATCAGCTGGTGATCTTCTAGTTTATCTGACTCTTAGATGGGCGGAGGCAGTAGAGTCCAAGGGGGAGGCATTGGCCGTTAGTTTGAACATAGCGAAGGCCTTCGATCGGGTCTGGCACAAAGCGCTTCTTTCGAAGCTTCCTTCCTATGGGCTTCCCGAGAAATTGTGCAAATGGATCACCAGTTTCCTTGCTGATCGGAGCATCAAGGTGGTGGTAGTAGACGGTGCATGCTCTGATTTCAAGCCTATCAACGCTGGTGATCCACAAGGCTGCGTGCTATCACCAACGCTGTTTCTCCTGCATATCAATGATATGTTGCTAACTGGTAGCATTCATTGCTATGCAGACGACAGCACTGGTGATGCCTTATATACCGGCCGTACAAATATTTCTCGGGAAAACGTCGCTGAGTACCGGGACAAACTTGTGTCTCAAGTCGAGTCTTTGCTTAACAAAGTCTCGGATTGGGGCCGACTAAATCTAGTTCAGTTCAATCCCCAGAAGACACAAGTTTGCGCGTTTACCGCTAAAAAGAACCCCTTTGTCGTATCTCCTCAGTTTCAAGGCACTCCCCTTGCTGCCTCAGCTAGTATTGGAATCCTTAATGTCGACATATCGAATAGTGTACAGTTTCGTGGTCACTTGGAAGGGAAGGCCAAACTGACCTCTGAAAAGCTTGGCGTGCTCAGCAGAGCGAGACAGTATTTCATGCCGGCACATCGCTTGCAACTTTACAAACCGCAAGTTCGGCCCCACATGGAATACTGTTCTCATCTCTGGGCCGGGGCACCCCAGTGCCAGCTCCTTCCACTTGACCGCATCCAGCACAGAGCGGTTTGAATCGTCGACGACCGAGTTCTTTCTGATCGGCTCGATACACTGGCACTGCGTAGAGATGTTGCATCTCTTTGCGTATTTTATCGCATCTATCACGGGGAGTGCTCTGAGGAATTGTTCGGACTAATTCCAGGCGCTCAATTTCACCATCGCACATCGCGACAAAACTCGCGTTAGCATCCATACCATCTGGATGATTGGCGGTCCACCACTGTACGATTTAGAAGAAGTTTTCTCCCTCGCACAACTTCCTTCTTCGTCTTCTACGACATGCGAAGTCCGCAAAAATATTTCGTCAGCATGGCGGACTTTTACCTGCACCTAAAATCCTTTGAAAATGCAAGGAAGACTGTGCTAAGTACGTATTGCATGCAGGCCGTCACATTAATTTTTATTGTAACTAATTCGCTAACAGTCTAGATCGACCTTAACATGTTTATGTTTTTTATATTTTATTTTCATAAAACTGAAGTGATAAATGTTTATTTTAGTCCACCTGATGGTAAGTGCAAAGAACTTAAAATAAAGGAAGCTACAGATGTGTTATCACCTCTGAACATTAAGATATAAATGCTTCACTTCCTGTGTCTATACCCTTCGCAACGGAACGCAGCACTGAGACTTGAGGCACTTTTGTTTGACGTCAGAAATAAGTAGAGTAGATACGATTCATGCCACAGTAGGATAGGGCCCTAAAATTTTAATGCTCTAGGCTTAAGGCCAAATTAGTGGCCATTATTGACGATTCCGTAGCGCAGTGGCTTAGCAATGAGTTGCAGCACTGAGGGCCGCGGTTCGCACCCCGTATGGAACAAGTATATTTTGTATGTTCCGGGTCTGGACGTTTGTACTTGTGAAATTTGTGCATGTAAACTCTCTCGCGATATAGGAGAAAAATATCCTAGTGTGTAAGAACGTTTTAAAAAAACGCAATGGGAGCTCCCTCCCCCCTCCCTCTTCCAAATCATCTAGTATATCTCGCAAGTACCTCGCAACGTAATCGTATTTTCCAGCCTTCCGGTTTAATGGTTATACGAACCATTCAAATGTAGGAACCTACAAATTAGGTAGTTATAAAAATTAAATTGTCTGTTTGTGGTTACACTGAGAGGTATAATATGATTTCAAAAAGAGAGGCACCTATATTATATTTACCCTAATACCCCAAAGGCCTGTAAAGGCTCAGTCAAGGAAATTTAATTTTGACAGTGATTTCGATTTTATGATAAATTTTGTTTAATACTTTACCTTACGTTTAAAGTAAAATGACAAATTAACGTAATGAAATATAGTGTCATCTAAGAGTATGAGATTCTTACGTTAGTAAAATATGAATAACTTCGCCAACAAGACCCTCTTCATTCATTGGATATTGCGCTGCTTCACAAATTGCACGCATAACGCAGTCCACACCGTTCATGCCTTTCCTAAAATAAATATAAATCGAGTGAGTAAGAAAATCTATATCCCCATTTTTTTTATATGGCTATCGTAAGGACAACTAATCTACTTGGTAAAGTTCTTCGATAGATGTCGCTACACCATCTCAATATAAATAAAATATCTAGTTGTACAAGTCTGCTTGCTCATCAAGTAGTGCAAGTAAAGTAAATCCTTCATTCAAAGTGAGAGGCTTCTGTTAAGCTGTACCGAGGCTGTCGTTCATTTTAATCACTATTTTGACCTTGAAAGAAAAAGGTACTAGGCGTTCAGCCAGAGAAAGCGCCAACTCTCCGAGTGATAGTACATGGCTATTCTACATAAACCGAAGTACTTCGAAAACTTCGATAGCGTGATTTAGGCATGTCTTTTCCCGTGACAGAGCGATGACAGAGGCGCTTCAAATTAATGAACTGTAATGAACCGAAAAATATAACCTATCAATTTAATTGCAAAAATAATAGTATCTCTTAAAGGATTTGCTACATTTTTGGGGGCAGTATATTACAAGCGCAACATGTAGTAGCGGCGTAAGAGAATGAACCACCCCATGTCACCTGGAGGATGTCCTGAGATAAGCAACAGCATCTTCCTGATAACAAATGAAAATAATTAGAAAATTCCGGTCACCAACCAAAGCTTAGTAACTATGGCAAATATCCCCCTATGAGGCGTTTTATTTTTGAGGCCTATATTCATTATTGGGCCTTTAACTGTCTGTAATCCATTAAAAAAGCAAGAAATATTAAAGAACAATAAAAGTAATAGAGGTTTAATGACTAAATATGAAACCAACCGCAATTATATCTAAAATTATATTTTCTATACTGACGAAACATTTCATAGATGTTTATAGTTACTTCAGTAAGAAATTTGAATAATTGGCATCCATCGGTCTTTTTGTGCGAATTCCTTGTTTGCTAGAGAAAAGTCATCATCATCATTACAGCCCTTCACAAGTTTACTGCTGAATATAGACCTCCTCCACAGAATGCCACAAAGCATGGCCCCGACCCACCTGCATCCATTGACTTCCTCCATGTCTTACCAGGTTGTCACTTCATCTAGTGTGGGGAAGCCGTACACTTCACCTGTTGGTACGAGGCTGCCACTCGAAAAGCTTTCTTCCCCATCGGTTGTCGGTTCTTCGAGCTATATGGCCTATTGCCACTTCAGTTTACGGCTATGTCTTTTAATCTGGTTCTCTGCGGATATCCTCGTTTTTAAATCTATCACGAAGAGAAACGCCGAGCATATCCCTCTCCATAGCTTGATGGGAGACTTGATGGGCTTCCTCATACGGCCAGCCATATAGCCATATAGCCAGCATGGATAGCCATCGTAGCCCTACGGTACAAACACTTCAGCGCTTCGATATACCGACAGTCCACTTGGCACCAGTGAAGAGACTGCAGCACCGCCCAAATTTCAACGGAATCAAAAGCTTTCTCATAGTCCACATACACAAGACAAAGTGTCAGATTGTACTATTAGTTCTTCTGTACTATTGCCGAAAACACTTCAGGTATGTGGTATATGGAAGTCGTCAAGTCTGCATACGCGACGGTTCGTAATAACTCTCGAAAACAGCACGTTGACACGGCTCAGAAGGGAAATCGGCCTGTAGTTCTTCAAGAGTGCGTTGTCGCCTTTCATGAAGAACAAGACCACCGCACTTAGCGCCTCAGGAGTAGTGCCACCATGTAGGATAGAATTGAAGTGTTTATGAATGACTTCAAGGTTTCAGAAGCTCCGCAGTAATTCCATTATCGCCCGGGGACTTGCCGTTTTTAAGGTGCTGGAGAGCCATTCTACTCTCGCTCAGACTGGCGTCCGGGATATCATGGAGAAAGAAGAATGGAGAAAAGTAAATATGTTTGAAATAAGTTGGAGCGTTTTTCTATCCAAATCTACATGGGGACTTTTTATATATCTGATTTACCAACGTGTGATTACAATCCTTTTTAATACAAAAACCATGCTCAAACTATATTTCAGTTTAACAAGCACTTACAGGTAGACACAACATTATCAATAATAACAACACGAAGAGGAATTTAAAATCAGCTGGGATCGAAGACACTCACAAGCACAATTTATAAAAAACATTTACTTAGCGACATTATTACTTTTTTTTTAAATACCTAGTCAGGTCATAAGTTCTGTCAAAAACTTTTTGTAAAATTAATGATACACTTTTTGATAATTATATAGAAATAATATATGAAATGAAAGGTAATTTAATTTAGAATACAATTAAATTTACATGATTTAAAATGCCCTCCCCTATTTTGAATTAAATTGCCCTAATCACAACAGTGGTTAACAGTGGTAGAGCCACGCGGCAGCTTTTGCTGTCGCACGGATGGGCCGGCTCGAACCGGGGTGGTACCACGACCTCACAAAATACCAGCGTGAAGTAGAGGTTTACTTCTGTGTTTCGCTTGGTGAGTGCAGGTGGCCGGAGGCCCTTTTTACTGGAAATGAGGCATTCCATCTTAGTCCTCACGGGTGACAACGCATCTACATATTGATTTGTAATAGAGGATAGATGTAGATGTCTATGGGCTGCAGCAACCACTTACCATCAGGTGGACTGTGTGCTCGTTTGTCACCCTTATCCTATAAAAAAAAAACACGTGGCCAATCATCTATCGCAGCACGCACCACATTCATATCTATTTCTGCCGCTGCTTTAGCCAAAGATGCTCGGAGAGATTCCAAATTCTGATGAGGCTTAGCGCAGATTTTCTGCTCTAAATGCTGCTATATCTTGTTATCCAGTGAGTTTAAATCTGGACTAGAAGAGGGCCAGTCTTTATATCCGATAGAATCAATTACACGGGTGGTCAACCAGTTTTGCGTGCTTCGTGCCCTATAGCTGGTGCAGAGTCCTGTTGGAATATCAAATGTCTGTTTTTGAACATTGTTTGAGAAAGAGGTTCCACTATGTTTGTTAGAACGGTATTTTGGTACACCTCGGTACTGGTTTTTACATCTTTTCACAGAAAAACATCTCAGTTAAGCCTGAATATGAGACTCCAAGCCAAGTCCAAGTCCAGTGATGAAGGGTAATGTCCTCGTTGAACCCTCGGAATACGCGTGCTGGCTTCTTCACTGCTGTGGGTACCTTATCATTTTGTTTATCATAACTTTCTTCGATGTTAAAAAAAATTTTTCATTCCAAAACAAAATTTCGCGGTATTTTTTACCCCGTACCGCCATAACACAGTACGGGATCTATCCAGCCTAATTTTTTTTAAACGCTCGTTCAAAAAATGTCCGGTCTTTTTACGATAAGCTCGTAGTACTAGATCTTTATTCGTCACTCTTTTGACCGTGGTTCTGTTTAGGCCCATCTGAAGAGCTAAGTTTTTTTGTTTACGAACAGGATTTCGATGGAAGGCGCGAGCCTTCACTGCTTTGATGATCGCGGGTGTCCTAACTGTACAAACTCTGAATGAATCTGAAAATTAGTTATTTTCAATTTTTGTAGAATATTGAAAATCTATTTTGGCGCGTAACCACAGCGGTGCAACGCGATAACTGCTGCTTTTTCTTCTTTCTTCGACCACTCCATATTTGAAAATGAATAAAAATAAATGTCTTTTTTAGTTACGGCAAGCGCAAGCAATATATATTTAACATTGTTGATGTTCATTCAGCCAGTATTCAAAAATTTTAAATAATAATGTTTTGACGGAACTTATGACCCGACTAAGTATTATAGGCCAGTTATCTACTACTACTACTACTACTACTACTACTACTATCACACCTGATGGTAAGTGCTGATGTAGCTGAGAATTGCACTGACTGGTAAAGCGCACTGGCTTAGCTTAACAAAAGTCTATTCACTCCTGTCTTGAACGCATACAAATTGTAATCGGATGTAAAGGCAGATGCTTCTGTACACATTATAAACGACAAAGCAAACAATTTAGTTCGATTGCATGGTGTGTCGACAACAAACATGTGACTGTGGATGTAACTTTCCTTTTCTTGCGGATAATGTTCTCTTGAATGATATTAATACTAAATGTTAGTAGGTATTTAGGTACTTACAGTAGAACAGAGAAAGTTACTAAGTTAATAAATTATAATATTTTTCTTGGAATAACACTAGACGTGAAGCTTCAGCGGAGTTTCCATATATCAAAATTAATTAGGAAGGTGACTTAGTTTTGCACATATGCACATATAAAGAAATAATTTACTTTTGCTTTTTCCATAGCACAATGTCGTATGGTATTTTGCTTTGATACCCGACTGACACTGAAATTATATTTGTTTTACAGAAGAGGGCCATAAGAGCAATCTATGATTTAAAACCTAAAGAGTCGCTCCCACAAAAATTTAAGGAAATTAAAATATTAACTTTGGCTTCTCAATATATTTATGAAAATGTAATGTACGTACACAAAAATAAAAGTAGTTATACAAAAATAAGTGATATTCATTCTGTAAATACTAGGAACAGACACAAGCTAGTAGTACCAGTTACTCGACTTCACCGAGTCAGTAATTTATCCTTGGGGCGATGTATACGCTTTTACAACAAACCCCCAGAAAATATATACAAAACTTGACCTGCGCAAAGTTCAAAAATTTTATTAACAAAGTTTTTATAAAGTATTATAATATTAAGGAATTTTTGGATGATAATAACCCCTGGGAATGAGGTAATTGCTATCAAGCTATTTCTAATTTGTTTTGTGTGGTTAATTGTGTAACATGCATGATTGTAAGCTGTTGTTTAAAAAAAAGTCCCGCTGGGTTTCTTGCTGGTTCTTCCCAGGACAGAGGTTTTTTCGAACTATTGGTAATTAAACAAAAGAGTTACTTTTAATAAGTATTATTTATAATCTACAATATTGAATAAAAAACTTTCTCTTTCTGTTTCTATAAAAGATATACGTATTATTGGTCAGTGAGGTCTGTGTGCGTTGAAGTTCCTAAAGGAACTGAATCCGCGCCTAGCTGTCGT